CACGACCTGCCACTATGCTTTGGCGACTCCTAGTGGGGGTCCCGACTCCAGGTTGGGAACCACTGCACGACCAAGCATCAGGGACAAGAAGCCTATTAAGTCTGTGTGAAATGATAAAGAATACAGAATACAGACAGAGAATTGTATAAAAAGTTCCTTAAACAGGAAATAATCTGCTCAGAATTCATCCAAATCTCTGGTTTCACACAAACGTTTGTACAGTTTTGAATATAATATGAAATATCCATAACTTAACCATAACAGGAACCTGGTGCTTTCTGTTAGATAATGTCGTATCTTCTGACTGACGTATGAATATTAACTGTAAATATAGATAAATAGATCACCACCCACGCTGGAAATGACCACTCATCATTGACATTATCGAGCAGAATACAAACTTTGGAGACGGTGACACTGCGGGTTGGACGCGCTCATTATCAGATTGTGATGACTGAAGGTGACTCACAGTGACATACCCACATCCTGAAGGCCTATCGGCGGTTCTTCTGGTCAGATGTGCCGTTTCCTCTCCATCTTCTAATCGCCTCATCAGTTTCACGTGGTTTTGATCATCAGTCCCACGTTTCCTGCTCGCTGTGCCGCTCTTTCATACAGACTGATTATAAAACTCACTGAGAGCTGAGTAAGGTTGGGGGGCTTCTCTCTCTGTGAGGCCTGGTAGACAGCTTCATTTATAAGTAGAACACTTAATTGAAATATTATCATAATATGCAAAAAATAAAGGTAAAATGTGACAAAACTGCATAAGAATGAAGCACTGTGGTTCTACAGACCCCCAGAAATAAATGTCACTGCATCATCATTTTAATCGTTTCAATGAAAATTCAATTTGTGATGCAATAATGATCACAATATCTGTCAGAATAATAATAATTAATAATAATAAGCTTTATTTATTGAGCTGTGGAGCCAGTCGGTGAGGTAGGAGGGGGGCCTGGCTGTGGAGGAGAAGGACTTGGAGGAGGAGGTTCTGGAGGACGGGGGTAGAAGTAGTAGTAGTTTGTTGCTTCACAGAAACAAACATACCTCAAGAACAGACACATCAAAAAACAATTACAAAATAACTAAAAACATCTAAAAATGGAGAAGACACTACATTTACCACTGAACATTCCGCCAGCTTAAAAAGAGACTGTATAGAGTATAAGAATGAAAGTGCTAACGGTGCTGGTGGTGTTTAAATTGCACATGGCCTATGATTTAGTATTAGAGTTCAGCAGCTTGATAGAAGTACGGGCGAATGATAACTTCACTCTGTTGGACCGGTTGAAGGCGGGCGATCAGCAGCGTTCACTGATTGTAACTGTAGGTTTATTCAGGACTTTGGATGGATGAGATGCTGCTGCAGTATTCTGGGAATGGTGATGAAGGTGTGGAGAAGAGTGAACGATGCGATTTTTCAGAGAAAAAGGCCTTGTGGTCCGCAGGTATTGGTGTTATTTGTCATGTTTTGTATAGTTGAGTTTGAGGAAGCTGGTTTGCAGAATAATTGTAATATAATGGTTTTAAACAAACTCCATGGCCCTGTTTTTTATTACGAGCCCTGACTGTTTTATTTTTCACCTGTTAAACATTAGCGAGCATAAAGTCCAGGGAAAAGGCCACTAAAAATATGTCAGTATAGAAAATGTGGGACGAAATACATATTCATTATAAAAAATGTCCAAGACAAAAACTGAGAGGAAAAGAACTTGTTTCTGTTTGTGGTTTTGTTTTTCCAGGATGATCAGACTGTCACAGATTACTGCATCCAATTAAAACAGCGCCTTTCTTTTTACACATTTATGTACAGCCTTTATTCCAAAATGATTAAATTCAATTTTCTTTCCAACATAAGTGTTCCAGCTTTGCCTAGACCCTCTAAATTAAGGTCAGGTCATCCTGTTCCACTGGATCAATCCTCTAGATGTTCTACAACTTGACCTGGAGTCCCACCCTGTGGGTAATTCAGTTTGATTGAACATGATTTGGAAAAGGACACACCTGTCTATATAAGCCCACAGTGGACAGTGGCCACGTCAGAGCACGTCAGGCACAAAAACCTTAACATCAAGCCAAGGAATTGTCTGTAGACCTCTGAGACAGGGTTTGTATCCGAGGCAGCAGATCATGGGGAGGGTACAGAAAAATTCTGAGCTTTGAAAGGTCGCCAATGAGCCACAGTGGCTCCATTCGTCTGTAAATAGAAGGTTTGGAACCACCAGGGACTCTTCCTAAGGAGCCGCCCGGCAAACTGACGGTCGGGGGAGATCGGGTTCCTTAGATGAATGCAGCAATGTCAGAGACCTCCTTCCATGAGAACCTCCTCCCAGGGAGCTCGGGGACCTCAGACTGGGGTTATTGTTCTAAAGGAACTCGCGTGGATGTCCTTGAGTAGGCCCAGGATTGTGAACCCGATTGAACATCTCTGGAGGAGATCTGAAAGTGTCTGTGCACCGACGCTCCCCATCCAACCCGAATGGAGCTGAGCGGTCCTGTAAAGAGGAAACTGCCCAAAATAAGTTAACAGGTAAACGGACTGTACCTCGTGTTGTTTCATTTCTATTCTTGCTTGACCAGCTCAAAGCTCCTTTTACACTACGGTGCCACAATTCACCCTTTCCACAACACGATGGAAAGCATTGGGAGCAAATTCAGGGTTCAGTTATCTTGTCTCAAGGTATACTTGGACATGTTGGCGGGAAGGACCGGGGATCGAAACCAACACTTCCGATTGGGGAGCCCGCTCTGCGTACTCAAAAACTTGAAGGCGTAACTACTTCCAAAGGTGCTTCAACAAAGTATTGAGCAAAGGCTGTTAATACTTATGTTCAAGCTATATTTATTCTTTATTTTTAATACATTTGGATTAATTTCAACTGTTGTCATTATAGGATATTGTGTGTAGAATTGAGGAAGAAATGAATTTGTTTGAATAAAGCTGTAACAAAGTGGAAAAAGTGAAGCACTGAATACTTTCTGAATGCACTGTGTGTGGGTGTGTCTTCATCATTGACTCATCAGTAAATCAATGTGCACATTTTAAATACTTTATAAAAGATAATTTCAGAGCTACAAAAGGTCTTTGTGTTCCTCTGGACTCGTTACACTCTTGCTGTAAATGAGCTCTGTGTGTTTCTGGGTTAAAATGACAGTTTAATGATTATTATATTTCTACCACATAAAAGTGGCTCTGTCTTTAAGAGTTGATCTGCAGGTATCATGTGAGCCCGTTATATTTAAAGCCTCTGGCCTCGGCGATCGGGCTGAACCTCGTGTTCCTGGGTCCGGTATCAGTGACGATCATGAAGATGTTAACACTGACGCAGTAACTGGTTCATTTCACTAGAAAGATGACAGGATGATGGATTGATAAAGTAAAAACAAATAGATGCATTGCCGTGTGTGTGGGGGGTTTCTTCATGTACTTCCAGAAATGCTTGTGAGGGTTGAAGTAAGTGAGACTTAATTAATTCTTATTGTACATTAAATCTAAAGTTGTATCACTCTCAGGTCTCAGGTAGGAAACACACTTCCTGTTCTTTAGAAAATAAAAGCATCAAACCTCGTTAACTAACCCTGAAGGATCCGTGACTGCGGAGGTCAACACGTTTAAACACTTTAACTTACTGTGAACGTCGTTGAGTTCAGAGCTGCTTTATGTAACTTATGACTGTAAGTGAAGTCTGAGCATTTTATAGACTATTAATCATTTAGTTGCAGCCTTTAGATGAGAATTATGACACAAATGTTGTAATATGATTAATGTGCGCAGCTAGACTCATTTTATCCAACAGTTTCTCGACGTATGTAATGAAACTATAAGAAAATCTAAATATTGAAGGTTTGAAAGAAGAAAATCCAGATTTCTCTCCTTTTTTATTGTATTTAGTGTAAATGTTCAAACAGCAATAAAACCAAGGATGAACCTGCATGGTCAGTCTGCTGCTGATATATTCAGATAAGAAGTCTGAATATTTCAGCCTTTATGAGGAAGAATGTACAGAAAACACATGAAAACGATTCATTTCCGCCTTAAACTGAGAATGAATTGTACGATTGTCCAGAAAAGAAACCGGGAGATAAAAGTGAAAGCAGCCTTTCATCCCTGCTGTCACACGAATGAACACCGGGGGGCGTTTGCACTCCTTTATTACCTTGAGCTTTGCATTGTGGGACAACCAAAGCACAGAAAACAACAAAGTAAAATAAAGTGCAGACCGTCGACACAACAGTAAACAACCATTCCACCAAAACAAAAACAATAACAAGTCACCTGCATGACTCAGCAGGAAGAACACGACTCAACCACGTGTCCTTTGGAAGTGACAGAACTTTAAATTCAGCAGTAGGTAAAGGGGGGGGGGGCGCCTCCAGGTTCAGACCCCCCCTCTGATCCAGACCTGGTTCTGGAGTCCCCAAAAGTCTACAAACCTCTATTAGTGTGAAATTCTGGGACAGTCTTTGTTCGCTGTTCGCTGCTGGGAGTCGGCGAGCGACTCCGGTAGTGTGGACGTGGTTTGTGACAGATCAGCTGTGTGAGGAGTGAAACATCCCGATATCCACCTCTCTGAACGTCAGTCTTTATCGTTTGATTTCTCCTCTGCGTCTGTCGCTTCATTTCTTTTCCCCGACACTTCGCGCACGTGAAATAAAACGAGAGCAGAGTCAGTGCGTTCAGATTCTGCCCGCTCGTTCCAGCTCCTCTCTCTCCGTACGTAGCGCCGCCTAGTGTTCATCTCCGTCTGCGTTTGTATCTCCGCTCAGCAGCACCGTCCCGTCCGTCCGTCTGTGTGTGAGGGAGTTCAGCAGCTTTCAACAACATCTTAAAATGCCAATGACAGTGTGGGAAACTTTCAGCAACAAACAGTAGATACAGAAAGACGGAAAGGCAGAACATTGAGGGCACTGCGACACGGCCTTAAAGAGTCTGTCTGTCTCGCTGTCCTGTCTTAATGGGGAACGCTGTCGCTCCATGGGGGAAACCTGTCGTCTCCACTGGGGAAGCCTGTCTGTCTCGGGGAACCTGTCTGTCTCCGTAGAGGACTGACATGTACCTGCACTCGTCCACACTGATGGAAACTGGCGGTTTGTCCTCCGCCCTTCAGAAGCGTGGCGTGGGATGGTGAGCGAGCTGTCCGCTGTTGGCTTTGTCTCTCAGCATGGTCAGCGCCGTGTTGGAGAAGTCCCGGAGGACGTCCACCGTCTCCCGCTGCAGCAGCAGAGACTCCTGCACGAACTCCTGCTGGCTCTCCACCAGCAGCTGGACGGACTGGGCCAGAACCTCCAGAGACTGGGACACCGAGCTCAGCAGCATCCGGCTGGCCCGCTGCTGCTGGAGGCTCTGGGAGGACATCTGGGCCACGTGGTCGGAGGCCCGGCGGGAGGAGGCGCCGGCCGGGAGGGGGTCGGACGGGTTGGAGCCCGAGGCGGAGGGAGGATTGGGCGGGAGGGCTGAGGAGGAGGAGGAGGAAGAGGAGGAGGGAGAAGGGTGATTGGAGTTGGAGGAGGGGGCAGAAGAGGAGGGAGCGGTGGTTGTGGTCGCAGCTACGGAGGAGGAGGAGGCAACAGGAGCGGGAGGCGGAGGGAGGGAGGAGGTGGAGGGCTCGGGGTTAGAGGTAGAGTCATCGGCTGCGACTGGTTTAGAGGAGGGAGGAGCGGGGGACTGCGACGAGGGAGGCGCAGCGGAGGAGGAGGCGGCGTCCGACACTGGAGGGAAATCAGAGGAGGTGGAGGGTCCAGGTGGAGGCTTGGAGGAGGTGCTGCTCTGCCCGTTGTTCTGGCTGCTGCTCCGGGAGTACGTGTGCACCGGTTTGATCCTCAGCAGGGCGTCGTCGGGCAGCGGGTCCAGGGAGGTGGAGGTGGAGGTGGAGGGCGGGGGAGGAGCGGGAGCGTAGGAGGAGAACATGGAGTCGTCGTTCTCGTCGTAATCCATCGTTTGTTCTGGAACAGAGAGACAGAAAGTGTTCACTCTCCGTTTAGAGACTGTTCAGTGTCCGTTAATAAAATGTAGTAACTCCTCTTACCTCCGTCTTCAGCCAGGTCCAAGTCGAACTCAGAGGAGGAATGAAAAGGATCGGCTGGAAAACATGGAGACGTCACATTAACACGCAGTATTTTAGAGGAGACAGGACAGGAATGGAAATCAACCACCAGGTCTCTCAGAGTCTCTTACAGTCCCTGCTCGTACCATCAGGATCAGTTTTATGGTTAAAAGCAGAAGAAAAACTCAATCTGTACTTTTCCTCCTCTTCATTAAAATCAACTTAGTGTATTTATTTAGTGTGTTTTCTTTCTTTATTCTTTCATATTAAAGTAGTTGTTTACCATTAAACCAATTAATAAAGTGACTCATCTTCCTCCTCTTTAGAGATCGACTGATATTATTAGGGATTTTTTATACAGTTCTGTCTGTATTGTGTATTTTTATCATTATTAACAATCAAACAGACTTAATAAGCTTCTTTTCTGACAAATTCACTGTCTTCTTGTCCCTGACACTTTGTTTTACTTTACATCTCTTCAGAAATGAACAAAAAGCTGAGATAAAGGCCGACTGTGTGTATTTTTAAAGTTTTCTTAACGCCTTAAAATCGCGGATTCACAGATTCACATTATTGATAAAAAATATAAAGTAATAAAATATTACGTTTCATTCTAGATGAATCTACAATACAGTGTTATTTGATTAGACAAATATGAGCTTTTTAATCTACCACTTTCTCCACTATCTGATACGTTATATATTTGTCGTGTGTCTCCTTTCTGCTCAGAGCCTCAGAAACAACCGATGGGTGCACACTGTTACCAGACTCACCGCCAACGTCTTTCTCTGGTGAGGACAGAGGGGAAATGTCTAAGGACGAGCCTCCAGGTAAAGAGTAGGAGCTGTCCGTCAGGCTGAGGTAGGAGTAGGCGGGAGGGGCGGGGTTAGAGGGCGGGGCTTTACTGTAAAGCTTTGGAAAGTCCTCATCCTCGCCGAGCTCCAGATCACTGTCGCCGTCTGAGAACCAATGACAGCCAGTTTATTAAGGAGAAACAGTTTGATTGGGACTGTAGGAGGTCTCTGTGCTCCTCACCTCCTCTGGGACTCATCATCAGGATCTTATGGACCATCCTCTCCACGGGGCCCAGGTGCTTCTTCCTCAGGTTGCTGCCGTTGGGGCCCCGGAGGGCCACGATGCGGCGCTTTCCGTCACATTTAAGGTCCGCCCATTTCTTCATGATCTGCCGCACCTGAGAGAAAATACAACCTCCTTTAAAGAGACGGCCCTAAATACCTCTGACTGATCTGCTTCATTAATAAGGAGTAATAAACCCTTCAGGAGCTTCAAGGATTCCCAGAATAAATTAACAAAACAGAACCAACTTGTAACCGTTTGTTTCTGACGCTGGATCTTTAACTTTACCTAGAAACGCCTCAATGGATTATTTAATTACAACCATTTGGAGAAGGAAGCATCACAAACAACAACCAACCTCTCTGTGATTCTCTCCCAGGCCGTTGATCTGATTGGTGATTTCAGCCCAGGTCTGTTTCTTGGTTTCCGCCGACACCCCTTGGTTAAACTTCCCTACGGGGGGAGGGAGGGAGGGGGGGAGGGGGAGATAATGGGTGAGACGAGACCACAGAGTTCATCCCTCTGCTGGTAAAAGTCCTTACATGCAAACAGCAACACGGAAACGTCTATTTATTGTTAGACATCTGCATTACAAAGCTTCAAACCTCGACACAGGAGCAGGTGGTCCCTATTATAAACTGCTGTTTCAGTCCATCAGTTAA